CTTTCTCGTTTTATTAAAAAACTGGACAGTTACTGCGTGACACAGTGGAAGCAAATAGGGCAGATTTGTAAAGAAAAAAATATATACCATTTTAAAATGCATGATATATCGGCCACAATATCAGTAGTGGCTGATATATGTTAATTTTTGTTGTCGTTATCGACCCAATAAGAAAATTAGGCCCAATATAAAGCCAATAAATAATATAGGCACATCAGTTGTGCACTGTTTCTAATTTTGTTTTTGAACTGCTTAAAATATTATTGAAATCACTGCAAAAAATGAAAAGCGCAACATGCTGTCATATAGGCTTTCATATACATTAAAATTATAAAGAGAACATTACAATTGTGTGCTTAGGATATGGCTTGTAATGGTGAGACGTTTGGTTTTGTAAAAATCAGGCTCTCAAAAATGAAAAAAAAAATTGGATTTCGATTTATCGGCCAATTTTCATATAAACATTCTAAAAAAAAAAGACTCAACTTTAAAGAGTAATTTTTTTTTACATATTACTTTCATGTTAAATAGTTTTTATTTTATTTTACTATTAAGCTAAATCTGGCCAAACTTTTCTAATGTATACAGCCATGACTTTAGTGTAAAAAACGAACAAAAAATTGCTAACATTGTCTGTGCTAATTTTCAATGCAGTGGGCTGTAATTTTACAACCTGGTCACCATGACAATGCATAGCCATAAACCTAAAACACCTGGAAAAATTATTTCAACATATTTACAGCTTAAACAATGCTATACTGAATAGCTTTTAAATTCCCCTATGCCATAAAGCTTTTTTAAATAAGAAATTATTTATTTTTGGTAATCAGCATTATATATATATATATATATATATATATATATATATATAATGCTGATTACCAATAATTAAATAATTTAAATAAATATTATACTATTTCTTTAAACTGGGTTAGGTGCCCATGGCTTTGAAGGAAAAAGCCCTGGCACTGTGCAAACCCCCTTATCCACCAAACATAAATACTAATATAGACCACACACACGCATAAACGCATCACTACCCTCCATCACTGCTTTCAGAGCACCCCATCCCCTCTCGTAGCTATGAATATTGAAGCGAAACACTAATAACAACATGTTTGCATTGTTGCGACTGCTCGGTCTGAATTATTTACTGGTGGACTCTTAATGTGACCACGTTGGGCTACAGACCAGCGCACAGACCTTCCCTCAGTCAGCTCTGCTCTTCCATGTCACCTTGACCGTGTCACTACAGCTTAGGCGCAGACGGGGGTCAGAGTTCACTCTGCCAGGTTGCATGGGTTTGTGAGGAGGTGAGGTCCAATCAAGCATGAGACAGCTTTTCACTTCCAGTGTCCGTTAGAACCAGCTCCCTCGCCCTGCGCATTAATCCACTCAGCAGCATTAATGTGTCGAATGAAAGTTTTATGTGCCGAATAGTCAGCAAATAGTCACTGCTTTTAAGGCACACATAAAGCCAGGGCAAGCAGTTGTGTGAAAATTGTTTGCTTTGGTTTATTACTTGTTTTTAATTGTTTATGTCATAGCTCACACCAAGTTGAGATGTTTCTTCAAACTCATGTATGACCAGCGCACCAAAAAATGCTGACATGCAAATTTGAATTTGGGATTTTTAACTTACATCTGGTAATAAACTGGGAATTTTAGCATTTTGAATTTAAAAAAAAAAAAGAATATTATTATTGTAAATAATATTTATTCAGATTCGGCATTATGTTAATAGCGGTAATAAATTGAAAATTGTAATATTGAAAATAAAAAATAAAAAATAAAACAAAGAACATTAATAGTATTATGGTAAATAGTATTTCTTTATATTATTAAACTTTTAAAAAATAATTATTATTTAAAAATCTGCACTATTTAGGTAATAGCGATAATAAATCAATTATTTTACGTTTGTGAAAAATGTAAAACAAAGAGCATTATTATATTATTATTGTAAATAACATTCATTAACATGATTATGTGCATTATTTATTTATTTTTTAATAAATATTTCAGATTATTAACAATATATACTGAACAAAATGATAAATGTCACATTTTTGTTTTTGCCCCCATTTTTCATGAGCTGAACTCAAAGATCTAAGACTTGTTCTATGTACACAAAAGGTCTCTCAAATATTGTCCAAATCTGACTGTCTAAAAATTGACTGTCTAAATCTGTGTTAGTGAGCACTTCTCCTTTTCCGAGATAAGCCACCTCACAGGTGTGGCATATCAAGCAAAGCCTATTCGTAGCATAAGAGCAATAACAGAACAAACAGAAAAGCTTTTCCTGTTTAAGTGAGATTCACCATTTCTAAAGAACAATATTCACCCCCCTCAGCGCCACCATCACACACCTAATTAATTTATCGATAAAGGAATACATTTTTCCAACTTTGTCCAGGTTTAATGCATGTAAAAATGCAGTGTTAGTTCCGATTCCGCAGGGGAACCTACTGATGTAGTTAAATATAGACCCATTATATACCACACTGTAAAAAAATATTGTTGGTTTAACTTAAAAAAAAGTAAGTAACCTGGTTGCCTTAAAATTTTAAGTTCATTCAACTGGAAAAAGTGAGTTAATACAATGAAGGAGAATGATTTAATCTTCAGAAACTCAAAATTATATGTTATCTGAACTAAATAAATTATTTAAGTTGATTTGACAAAAGAAAAAAATGTTGTGATTACTACACTGTAAAAAATATTGTTGGTTTAACTTAAAAAAGTAAGTAACCTGGGTTGCCTTAAAATTTTAAGTTGATTGAACTGGAAAAAGTGAGTTAATACAATGAAGGAGATTAATTTAATCATCAGAAACTCAAAATTATAAGTTATCTCAACTAAATAAATTATTATAAAGTTGATTTGACAAAAGAAAATATGTTGTGATAACAAATCTTGAAAATATATATTTTTTTTTTTTACAGTGCAGAGGTTTAGCCGTTGGTGTTTCATTGAAAACAATGAAGTTTGAAGTCACCATTATGGAGATCATTGATCAAGATCAGTCTTGACTTTCTAACTCTAGATTTTCCCTGGCTGCTTTGTATTTATAAAGCACATTTGTTGTGGCATGAAATCAGAGAGAAAATGTGATCACGTCTTATTGGCTATTTATTGTTCATGACATAATCGTCATATAGAGGCCTGATTCACTGATCTCATGCAAATTCTTATATTTAATTGTATGATGAATGCTCAATACTAATATATTTCATGTTTTTGAGTACAACTCTGTGAACCATACCATATGCGAACCAGCATGACAAACAGATAATCTGAAGAACTTTAAAAAACACATGAGGTACAAAAAAGGTTTTGAACTACTGTCCGATTTTGACCAACACTGACATCAAGAAATGTTACTGTCATCGAGATTCATTTGCGGATATCTTAATGCCTGAAAGATACAGTAGTTCAAACCTTTATTGTGCACAATATTTTAAAAATTCTTCAGATTATCACAACTCTAATGGGTCACATGCTGTAAAATCACAGCTCCTGATTTATTTTCTCTCTGATTTTCTTGCCATTAATGTGTCTTGAGTTACAGCAGCCATAAATGTTAGAAAGTCAAGGGTCAAGAGCTCAACTAAAGCAGTCACTGATCACCATCATGGTAAATTCATAAAATAAAACATTAAAACATCAACATCTAAACCTCTGTTAATTTTCAAACAGAACTGTAGATGTATGACAAAAATACAGTCAATGTTTTTTTTGTTTTTTTACAGTTTAGGTAACCTAACAACTATAGGAAACATAAGTAACTTAGTGACCGTCAACTCCTTTGTACAGATGCTCAGATGTTCTTCCATTGATGCACAATATTATATGCTCACCATGGATGCTCACATGATCATGCTGAGTAACATGATCATCTTCAAGCAGCTCCAACGCAGCACAATGATATAAAAGTGCCATACTGCCCTCTGGTGACCGGTATAATATTGGCATGCAGGTAAAACAGAATCAAAGATGTAATATTTTGCTAAAAACGATTAATAAATTCCAACTCCACCTGCCACATTGACCGTAATTTTTAAAATTTTGACAAAACTAAAGTCAATTGTTAGCTATGGGCACACTTTATATCTTTCATTATGCAACTTTAATTCTTCCTATTATTATAAGGTAATACCACAAAGCTGAAATAGCTGACATAGTCTCACTCATTACAGTATGAATGTATGACCTTTTTAACAAAGTAGGCCACATATGGAATGTGAAAGGGAGGAAATGCCTTGCAAGCTTTATTTTATCAGCAGAGGGCGATGTAGTTCCAGCCATGTCAGGGTTCCACTCGTTCTAGAAAACCTTGAAAAGCTGGATCATTGATCACTAACTTTCTAGTCATGGAAAACATATGGAAAATTAGAGAAAGTGTAAAATGTCCAGGAAAATGATTTTTTAAAAAGTGATTTGTTTTTATCTATAGGCGGTTTATTTTATAATGAGAAGCGAGAAGCTGGGCACACTCTGGGGTGTGGTGATGGTGTCTTCGATGGGGATGTCCAAGGCACCTCCTTTGGCTAGTGTAATGAAAGGCCGCCTGGCTGTGGTGAGGCCAATAGGGCACACTGAAACCCAGAATACTAGCTCTGTGGCATGACCAGGAGGGAGGAACAGCACCAGTTTAGGAGAGACTCCCAAAATGTAATCTGGATACATTAGTAGAAAAGTGTACATTTCACAAAAATCGATAGAATTCTAAAGTGTTTAATGAGTTAAAAATGACAAAATATACATATTTTAATGTTTTTTGCTCCTTTTAATATTCTTTGTTAAATATTTTTTTTCATATCCACCATAAAATTGAAATGAAATTCGTCTATTTGATCAGTTCGATAAAATGCTAATAGAAAGTTGTCTTATGAGTGAAAATGACAGCCAAAAGGACCTAAATTATTTAATATAAAAAATTATTAAATTATCATAGAAAATTATTTTATTAAGTGCAAAAATTAATGAAAATTTGTATTTTTTTTAACAATGTGTTTTCCTCCTTTTTAAGATTCTTTGTTAATTTTTTTCTTATTTAGTATTTCAATAATTGTATATTAAGCATAAATTTGACCTGACATCTGGCTATAAACAAAATTCAATAAAATACTGATAGAAAATTGCTTTATAATGCGTTCCTCTTTTTTATTATTTTTTGTTAAATATTTCCTTTTTTAGTATTTACGTTTCATGGGTTAATAAACATCTTGATGCTTCCTTATCTACGCGGCATATTTGACACAGTCTGCTATAAAATACTGATCTCTCTGTTTTCAGATATTGGCATCCTTGATTCGTTCCTGGTTCATTTCTTACATCAACGACAGAAAGTACTATATCAACATACAATAGATCAGCCACTGCTTCACTTACAAAGGGTGTTCCTCAAGGTTCAGTTCTTGGCCCACTATTGTTTATCATATATATTCTGTATATATATATATATATATATATATATATATATATATCCACTTGGTGACATCCTACAAAGGCATGAACTTCAATTCCATTGCTATGCTGATGACATTAAAATCTATCTTACCACCAGCTTCGCATCATGTCAGGGACTCGCTCATGTCAGGGACGTCAAGCATTGTATGTCCCTGAATTCCCTCAAATTGAATAATAAAAACTGAGATATTAGTGATTGGCTCTGCTGCCTCAGTCAAAAGGATGGACCTGTCCTTTGATATTAATGTAGTTCATGTTAAGCCTTATTCATCTATTCGTAACCTTGGAGTCTTAATCAACTCTTGGCTCTCATATTTCTTCTCTTGTTAAAAACTCTTTTTTCCATCTTCGTAATATTGCACGTCTTTGATCTTCTCTCACTTTGGCTGATGCGGAAATGTATACATTGATCACATCACGTCTGGATTATTGCAATGCTCTATTTCTTGGTCATTTGGTGGAAGGTCATTTAGTGTTAATGCTCCTAAATTATGGAATTCACTACCCCTTACACTTCATAATATCTCATCTGTGGCTACATTCAAGACTCAGCTAAAAACATATCTATTTAACATGTACTTTGTATAAGTGACTATTGAGCTATGAAAAGGAGCAAATTTGTTTTTCGTCTTCTTTTAAATAATTTCATATTTACCATAAAATCGACATGAAATCCAGCTAAAAAGTACCTTAAATGAACCTTAAGGTCAATGAAAATAGGGTTAAAAAAAAAAAAAAAAAAAACTGGCTAAAAAAGAATATTGCCACAGAGGAGACGCCTCTGACGATAATAACACATAGGAGCAAGTCGTGCTTAGTAGTAAGCAAGCGGCACAGACCGACCCAAACCGGTCTCATCTCCGTGCAGGGCCCTGGGTGCTGCAACAGATGGAAGCCGGGGTTAAATTCAGCTCTGGGTGTAACCGTACATAAACAAGCCGAGCAGACCTCAAACATGGCTTCTGGATGCACTATACGGCCTGTAGGGAAGTTCCTGGGTCGCAAAACAAGGGCCCCAATCTGAGAGATCAATGGACAATATTCAGCAAATACAATACGGTATGAGGGGCATCTTCAAACGACAGCGGTCCAGTCAGTGTGACTCGACACAGCAACAGTACAGTCAGAGAAAGAATGTTCAGCATTACCATGTGTATCATGGAAGACAAGAAACGTTCCCTTATGGGCCGTCCTCTCTGGGGTCGCCTTGGATACTCATTGTGGACATCACAAAGAAGTCAGTGTACAGTCCTGAGCAGACGCCTTGGCAGCCGCTCTGGCCATAGTAGCGATGTTCCCTCTCTGTGCAATGATGTAATGTTTTGGAATGATCGGAGTCAGAGTAATGGATGAGTGGTTTCTGTGGACAGAGTTTTGTTTGAGAGTTTTCTTCCTCTTTTTATTTTTTGATGGGTTGATTCAGTTGTCCGTGGACCACGGCTGATCTAAGGCTTGCACTTTGCGTGTAATTTAAAGCTTTAAATGGAGGGTTTGTAGCTAAGAGCTGTATCGACTATGATTAGAGTTCTGCCACTTTCCTATCCACTATGAGCAGTTCGTCTTTAGTTTTATATATGAATCACACAAAATGAGACGGTGTAACGCATGAAACATATTACATAATATATGGGTCTAATCATATATGGAAAGCCACTGTGGTGAGGAGTGCTAAGAGAAACTGCCTCTTTAAAAAATGATGGGAATTTCACATGGGCTGAACTTAAATAGCCACTGAACTCTCCACAAACAGAGCTGTACTAGGCCGCTCTCCTTTGAGTCATTGCGTTCAGTGTGGAAACAAATCATTTTGCACTTCATTAAATAAAGCATAAATTTAGCAGTTATGAATATAACAGTATGTTATTGTGTTCACTAGTCAAACTGGTGTCGATCAGTCAGCATTTAAGAATCATTTCTGAAGGATCATGTGACACTTAAGACTGAAATAATGATGCTGAAAATTCAGTGTATTTTTTATGTCTTTGAAAGAAGTCTCTTCTGTTCGTCAAGTCTGCATTTATTTGGTTAAAATAACAGAAAAAAACTGTAATATTGTGTATATTATTACAATTTAAAATAATGTTTTTCTATTTTAATATATTGTAAAATATCATTAATAACATTTCTGTGATACAAATTTCCAGTCTTCAGTGTCACATGATCATTCATGCTGATTTATCACCAATGGTGGGAAAAGTTGTTCTGCTTATTTTAAATTTTTTTTTTTTTCAGGATTTTTGATAATTAATAAGTTGTTGTTGTTGTTTTTTTTTTTGTTTTTTTTAAAGAACAGCATTTATTTACAATAAAAATATTTTGTCTCAATATATATTGGTGCATTTACGGGCTGGTAAATGCCAAAATCTGACGTGAAAAATGCACATGAACACCCCCTCATGGGTTTTTTTCCACTAGGCAACTCGTAGAATATCTTGACCTATGACCTTTTCAAAATGGCGGAGAGCAACTTTTACTGTCTATGGTCGTGAATGGTAAAAATATGTACTATTCATGATCTTGAAAATATAAAGCATATTATTTACTGTTTGAATTTTGATTAATCATTTCTTGCTGTTGCAGTCTAAAATAGTTTTAGCTGAAAAACAGGTCTGGATCTCCATCTTTTTACCATATTATGTCAACAAAAGCACTTGAACGCAACACACTGGTAAATACCAGTTCACAAGTGGTAAAATATGACATTTTCCATTTCCACATAATATGTTAAAAAGTTCGATCAGTAATTTTTTTCTTTCTAATTTCTTCTTTCTTTTCTTATTTTTTAAAATAAATTAATACTTTTCTCCAGCAAGGATGTTAAATTGTTAAAAATAGTTGCAAAGATTTATATTTTTAGAAACATTTATATTTTGAATAAATGCTTTTCTTTTTACATTTTTATTCATCAAAGAACCCTGAAACAAATATCAGTTTAAAAATATTATGATTTGTCATCATGTGATGATCACAGAAATAAGTTATTTTTTAAAGTATATTCAAAAAAGAAAAACATTATTTTAAAGTGTAATACTATTTTACAATATTACTGTTTTTTGTTCTGTATGTTTGCAGGCTTGATGTGCATATAAAATAAAAATATTAAAAACAGTAATGTTTCCAAAGTTTTTTGGAGAGAGGGACAGAGATTTTAAAATTAGGTTATTATTATTGTTGTTGATATTATTTTCAAATTGTAATAATATTTCATAATAATAGTTCACAAAATGATTTTATCTTTTTAGTTTGTAGTTTTGATTAAATAAAATCAGCCTTCTTTCAATGTTTTTTTAATCTTACCTTGATCTTTTGAAATAGAGTAGCCTAAATATATTGTATCTGACACAAAGGATTATTCTTGATCTAAAACTGCACAGCAGATGTTGTACTGTATTACATATCAGCATCGTAATTCTTGTCTGTTATATTGCATATAAAAGAGTTAATAATCAGTTTAAAAAAATCCAGGCCCATCGCCGAGCATTGCCAAACTTATTGTAATGGAACGTTACATTTCAACATATAGGGGGCACTGTAGAGGTCGAAAGACCTGAAATGTGTCAAATAAGGGAGACATCCAAAATGTTTAGTTCCTTGCCTGGGGCCATCCATAACCAGGATTAAGAACTACACTCTTAGAAAAAATGGTTCATTGGGGCTCTATATAGACCATTTCACAAGATGTAAACAACACTGGTCCAGAAGCACTTCCTGTTTCAGTTTTTTAACACTACATAAAAGCTGGGATAAAATACAACCAACAGAACATTTAAAACTGAATCAAAAAGTTAAACAAACATCTTTAAGATGTTTTCTTTACATGTGAAATAAAGAAAACAGTTACAAACTGAAACAGGAAGTGCTTCTGGACCAGTGTTGTTTACATCTTGTGAAATGGTCTATATGAAGCATAGGGTTCTTTACTCAACTCAAAAGAACTTTTTATGCTAAAAAGGTTCTACAACAAGAAAGAACCCTTTTGGCACAAAGATTATATAGGCAATTATTCATTCAAATATGACATTACTCTGCAACATTTTGTAGTTGTAATTAAATTATTGCTTATTAAACTGTTGTAGTAACTTAATATTTAATCATGCTGATTTTTGGAGGAGAAAAACTGAAATGGCACTTCGTGTGATATTAATTAACTACATAAAATGATATAAACATAGCCTATACATTTTATAACCCCCATATCTTGAATTTTGTGATCATCCACATGCATTCATAAATACGTTTTAGGGTGTTGCTTGTCAATAATATGAAATATTTAATCCGGAAAGGACAAAACAAATGAAAGCAAAATATAATCTTTTCCAAAAACGTGGAGCTGATAGAACCTTTTAAGGTTCTATGTAGAACCTTTTCTTCTAAGAGTGTAGGCTAATATTATGCTCAATAACTACACGAGGAGGAGAGGAGAATAAGATTTCATTCACCTGAGTTCAATTTCTGCTGTGTTGAATTGTCTCGTCTTGAGGCACGCAGTGCTCACTAGGGCACTAGAGGGGGAGTTACCAAAACCACGTGTCAGGAATGGCGGGGCTTCGGGCAGCGCACTGTTGAAACTTTTTCAAGCTCCGCCCTTTAACAGCTGCAACGCATTTATACACATGTGCAAACTTTGCCCATGAACGACACTCCCCAAAACCAGTACGGCTCAACTCCAAAGAACTCCAGCAGCGACCTTTACCAACTCCGTTTGAAGACGCAAGCCCCGTTCAGCCGTGGATTTCTTTGAGAGCACAAGGATCCTTCTCGGTCCGAAAAGTTTTCCCCCCTCTGAGCTGGAACTCGCTATAGAAAATGTCTGCTTCGGTGCTGTCTTCCATATATGACTTCGACAGGGTAAGAGTTAATATTGTAAAACGAGTACTAGAAGTAGTTTTAAGTTCACTTCTGTTTGTTTTCTCAACTTATTTTGATATTTTGTTTATCTTGGGTTGTTTAGCTATTCAATTTCAAAACTTGTAACGCGAGAGCTCCATGTTTACTAAATGTTACCACTCACTTGGCTTTTGTGGCACATAACGCGCTCGAGTAACGAGTTTTGTTTTTTTTAATTCCTTTTTTGCCCTGCTTTGAGTCTCATAATTTTTTTTTACATAATTTGTATTCAACAAATTAAGGTAGTTTTTGGAAATCTATTGCTTAGACATTATTTGTAAATTTAATGGCAAGACAAACTGATTCAGATCTTTTTTCATTATAACATAGCCTTCACATTTTACTACTCTCATGTGTTTTTGGTCTTGTCAATCTTTAATATTTATTTAAACTTGCGTGATGTCTTATAACTTCTGTCACCTCAGGAGAGTTTTGGACATGTCCATTAGTGATTTCACTCCTGCAGTTCTTTTCTAATGTGTTTAAACATGTACCCACTAAAACTATAGTTTTAAAACTAAAACTACTGTTTGGTTTCTTTCAGGAAAAAGTCCCGAATTCAAATGCAATCTTTCTGCAAAATATGCTGGAAAAGAGGAATGTCGGGGTCCCATTTGCTGCTTCCAATACCAATACTAATACCAACAGCAACAGGTCTTTTGGTTATTTCAGGAGTAACTCAACTAACCACATGGACTTCAACATGAGCAACAGGCTTCAGATTGGTTTTGAGAGCTCAACACCTGCCTTCATGAATAAAGAAAACAAGTACAGAGACCGCGCGTTCAGTGACTCAAGTGAACGCAGTCAACAACTTCAGGAAATCCTTCAGCAAAAGCCCGGCTCTCAGATCAACTCGACCCGCTACAAAACTGAACTTTGCAGACCTTTTGAGGAAAATGGCTCATGCAAGTATGGAGAAAAGTGTCAGTTTGCTCACGGCTACCACGAATTGAGAAACCTGTCCCGCCACCCGAAGTACAAGACTGAGCCCTGTCGCACATTCCACACTATCGGTTTCTGCCCGTACGGCCCCCGCTGCCACTTCATTCACAATGCAGATGAGCGCAGAGCTGCAACGAATAACACTCAAGCGAGGCTCGGTGGTGTGCTGGGAGAGACGGAGTCATCAAACCCATTCCTGAGACAGCGGGAAAGACCGAAGCTGCATCACAGCCTGAGCTTTTCCGGCTTCTCCTGCATCAACGAGTCCGTGTTGATTGACAACCCGACATCCCGCACGCCCCCACCGCCCACCTGCGCCCTCACTCCCAGTTCACCCTGTCTGAACGCGTTCACTTTCCCAGATCAGGATCTTAAGGCTTTTCTTGCCCCCATCATCCCTCAGACCCAACGCGCTTTTACCCATCAGACCAGCGGCGGCTTGTACGGTAACATTCAGACCAACGCTTGCCCCCCGTCGCCACCTTTCAAAATGAGCCACTTGCCCTCCATGCATCCACTCTCCGAGTCTCCAGTGTTCGATTCTCCACCGAGCCCGCCGGATTCCCTCTCAGATCCTGAGGGGTACCTGAGCGGCTCTTGCTCTTCCTCCGGCACAATCAGTGGCTCGGAGTCGCCCAGTATGGACGCCAATAAACGTTTGCCAATCTTCAGCAGGCTGTCGATTTCAGACGATTGACTTGCTATTATTGTTATAGCCTTTTACGAAAAGTAGTGCCAACATGAGTTTCAGGTCAAATATCAGTCTCAGCTGTTGGTTTTCTCATGATTTTGTCGTGATGCATTTCTTTTCTCGTTTTTTTTCCTTACAATGACATTTCCTTACAACGGTCTAAAACAGGAAAAAAGGCCTATTTAGAAGCAAGTCTTGGGAAAACATTCCATACGTTTGAAAGTGGTGTGAGCGCACAAGAACTGGGACTCATAGTTGGCCATGGAATGTCACTGCAGATTTTTGTTTTTTAAACTGTGTGTGGTATCATTGCATTTTTTTGCATCATGCTTCGAAATCTATTTAACTTATTTATTGTCATTTGAAAGTATAGCCTTCAAGGATAAATTGAGTCCGTATGGTATTTATCAAATCTAAAGCAATACACTTATATTCCTGTTTAAATTGTGATCGCCAATATTAATCTGGAAACGGTTGGGTTTGTCTCACAATAATATATTTTTGTTAACTTGTCTATTTTACTGTAAATGGGTAAATAATTTAAGATTGTATGCTATTTATTTCGATTTTTGTTTACTGTGTGTATCTATATTAAAAAGTGGGAGCGTCTGATGAGGTCACGCTGTGATTTCTTGGGAGGGAGGGGAGCATCAGAGGATCTATGGGCATTCGTAGAATGTAGCCTGATGTCTTTGGCCGTAAAGAACTAACTGACTTCACATCTACAAGTATGACTGTTTCCTTTTCTTTCTTTTTTCTTTATCAATGGTAATTATAACGACAACCAAAAAAAAAAAAGTATCCATTTGCACACGGTTGCATGACGATTGCTGTCTAGTGCCAGAGAATGTAGCACTTTCCTATCTAGAGGTTAATAACTAGCTAATATGTCTCTGCTGGGGTTGAGGATCCCACATACTGTAGCTTAACCTAATAAAGCAGTTGCTTTGGTGTATATCTAAAGCCAATCGAATTGAATGTAGCTCATAGATCAAGATGCCTTTTTATGGTGAATGAGATGCTATTTCATTGCTTATTTTTCTACAATTAGATCATTGGATCACACCATTCCTAATAAAAGAATCTCTGCCTTTCAACTGTTCTTCTCTACACATGCTGACTGGGGATATTAAGGTTTGTAGTTGCTTAATAACGATTACTTTAACATTTTTGGATGAAGTAACGCAACACTGAATGTAATAAGTGAACGTCAGCTGGAGTTGGACTGTGTATAGAAAGTGTGCAGAGTAAATTTGTACTGTACTTGTTTTATATATAGAACTTCTAATAAAGGCATTTTTGAACAAGATAATGATGTTTTGAGGAGTTTTTATTCAGTTAACTGTGGGATATGCGAGTTCTTTATTGCTCAAGACGGCATGCTGTGTCCTGTAAATGATTGTCTACTTTCTATTCTAGTCTGTTTTCCCTCCTGCTTTTCTTTCAGGAAAAATGGCTATTACAATGTCCTGGAGTTTGGTCTCCCCTGGCAGAATGTTTAATAGAGGCCTGCTTTGTGTGAATGACAGAAAGTGAAGTATGAGGGAGGTGGAGTGGCCTTGCACAGCAATCTGTGGGAGGTAGTTTATAGACGGTTAGAAATGCTACGATTTTCAGTGTTTCCTCACTATAAATGACCATTGGTTTATGCAGATGAGTTAAAGTATAATGATATAAAACTAGCAGGCCAATGTATGAACCTCTCTGTGCTGGTAAGAAATGGAATTAGGATAACACATGCAGACGTGTTCCAGCGTTAAGGGTCTGCTCGTGAAGATAAGGCGCTGTGCAAATATTTACATACAAGAACTTCTTAGGCAAAGTTGTTTAAGTTAGAGAATGTGTAATTTATGGCCTCTCACAAGCATATGTATGATAAAGTTGATTAAGCGTTAGCTTATATGCGAACATTTATGTCTGGATCCAATGTGCTTGTGTGTAGAGTATAGTGGGGGTCTTTTGCGTGTCAGTGTGCATGTGTAAAAGAAAGGTTGTCAGCCATTAATGAACCACATCTCACAAAAGCAGGAAACCTCTCTGTTCGCTGATTAGGGACTCTTGGGAGCAAAGCTATTCCTTTTGGATATTTTCCACTACCCCTCTTTTGTGATTTATATGGAGTAGGCTTGAGGCACAAAAACAGTTTTCAGAAATGAATACATACATTCTGTCAAAATTTTGAGTTACTATAAAATAATATTATTATTAGAATATTATTATTTTATTATAATTTATTGAGGTTTATTATAATCCATGTTCATAGTTCTCTAGATTCATCACACATATATATATATATATATATATATATATATATATACTGTATATATATATATATATATATATATATATATATACACACATATACATGTGTATATATACAATTTTGACAATGATTTGATTTGTATATATATACAAGACCACTTTTATATTTTGAGGAACAGAGTTGTTGCATTGAAGGATGGAGGACAGGCTCCACTTTGGCTCAGGCTTATCTTCAGCAACTGAGCACCTGTGACAAACAAACCAACTGGTCTGTGCCTTTCCTGTTTTGTTGTCAGAAATGTGTGCTTGGTGCTAGTTTCAGTGCCTCCATGCACAAGGCAAGGAAGTCCCACCCTCCTCCTCCTTCCTCAAGTGCTGGAGTCTAAAAAGCACTAAGTGAACACTTCCTTCCTTGAGCAAACAGTCCTATACTCATAACCCCATGTGTTCTGCCTCTGCGGCAGCCGTATTGTCTTAAGCGTTATCTGAGAGCAACCAGGGGAAAGCCAACACAATATAGTTCAGTGAGTCATAAGAAAAGTTACAGCACATCACATCCATAAACACAGATTCTGAGGGGTGTGGCGGGCTAAGAGTTTACTGGCCTGATATCGCCCTCCTTGATTTAGTTTCCTCCAAGATGGGCTAGATTCCAATGGAGCAATAGTGATGCTTGGATTGACACAAAGCCTACCATATGGACACAAGGGACAGGAAATCTCTACAGTGAATGGATTCACTGGCATAATAGAATCAGGGACACAGAAATAAAACATCGAGCATGATGAATCTGCCTTGTCACACAGTACCCTC